ATCATCATTTGTGTATTGTATTAAATGCTCTGACACATGAGTTAATGCATCCTCATGGACCTCCATGGAGTTACAACGTATTGTAGTGCTCCAAAAATGACGAATGGAGAATCGATCCTCCCCTTGAATATTAAGTGTTTTTTTAAATATTAAGTGTTTTAGTGAGGTGGTCGAAATTTTAAATTCTATTATTGTCGTAAACTTCATAAAAAAGCAGCTTAGTGGCCGTGCACTTCATTTAAAAGAGTAAAATATTTATTTAATTTGAGATTTAATCTTAGTTACTAACAACTAATTCAAACTAACTTTTTAACCATTATTATGTAAAAAAAAAAATTGAGGAACGGGGGAATGACCACGTGTAAAGTAAACACCCCTCAACTACTACTTTTGAGGTAGATTTATTTTTCTTTAAGTTTTCAAAAGCATATCAGCCTTTCGTTATATTATCTCCTCTATGCACTGATTTAAGCATAAGTATCTATCCCGAAATATAACCTCGAGCTTGCAGGTATTTTGGTCAATGCTGTCATGGTTGCTGTCGTGGTGTACCATTCTACATTTCAGCTATTTCGTGCAACAACATGATTTAATAGAGTAAATTAAAATTTAAAAATGCAATAATTAAAGGTTAACGTCGTTTTAGAATTAATCCAACGCAAATCAAATAAATATTGAAACTGATTTCTTTAAACAAAGTTAATCCTTCGGTGTTGTGAATATCAATTTCTAGATTTTCAATGGCGTTGCATGTAACGAATCGGATTATATGGGGTCGTTTACGAAAAGAATTTTTTTTTACGAAAACAAGGAATATTCTGCGTTCCTATTGAGCTTTGGCTGGCTTCATCAATCATATATACATATATATATATATTGAAAATTCAGTCACCGCAGTTCACAAACTTATAATCCACAGTAAGGTGTCCCTGAGCATGGCCACTGCCGTTCGTGTCAAGCTGATTGAACACGTTAGCATCCAGATCCAGACCCCCATTGCTGCACTGATCAATG